TTGACATTCCTTAGAAAGCTAAACATACAATTACCATATGACCTAGCAATTCTACTCCTAGGTAATACACCAAACAATTGCAAACCAGGTACTCAAAACAAATACTTGTACACATGTGTTCATAGCAGCACTATTCACAATAGCTAAAAGGTGGACATATCCATCAATGGATGAATGAATAATTAAAAATATGACATTCATACAATGGAATATTATTCGTGGATATAAAGGAGTAAAGTACTAATACATGCTAAAATAGAAATGAACCTCGAAAATGTTACACTAAGTCAAAGAAGCCAGAAACAAAGTGTCACATACTATTATATGAATCATTTATATGAAGTATCCAAAATAGGTAAATTCATAGAAAGTAAAAACAGACTGGTGGTTGCCAGGGGCCAAGGATAGAGAGGTATGAGAACGACCACTTAATGGGTACAGAGCATCCTTTATGGGTGATGAAAATGTTTTGGAACCAGACAGAGTTGGTGGCTGCATAACATTGTGAATATATTAAATTTCATCAAATTTATACTTAAACAGGTTAATTTTATGTTATGTACATTTCACCTTAATAAAAAATTATTTAAATTTAAGCTGTAGATACTACTAGTATAATTATCTTTACTTTTCAGAAGTGGAATTAGCCAGATTACACAACTAATAAGTGGCACAGGCAGCATTTGACCCAGGTAATCAAGCACCAGTGTCCATATTTTTAAGTATTTACGGTATACTATTTCTTATGTTCCATAAGAGGAAACCCAAAAGACTAACAAGCATATGAGAAGAGTCTGGAATTCATCAGAGAAATAAAAATGAAAACACTCAGCTATCATTTTACACGCATTATACTGGCAAAATTAGAAAGCTGGATAATATCAAGTGTTTGTGAGCTTGTGGTATCTAAGAACCCCTAGGCACTGCTGGTGGAAGTAAGTTCTGAATCAGACATTCTGTGAGGTTATCTGGTAGTGTCCCCTAAAAGTATTGATCCATGGGCATGATGTATGAAGATGTTCACTGCAGTACTGTTTTTGGTGATGAAGAGTTGTAGGCAATCTAAGTGTCCATCATTAGGATGAATGGAGAAGCAAAAAGTAGTAGCTCTCCATGGGATATTATAGTGCAGTTAAAAGTAGTAAATAAGATGTACACATGGATACCAGAAAAGGTCTTCATAATATAGTCTTGAGATTAAAAAGTAAGATACAAGCTATAGGGAGAACTAAGTGTGGAAAGACCATGTTAGAATTGGTCTCTTTACCATAAGGTTTTAATTTTGATTTTTTCTTTATGGCAAGGGTGAGGCTACTGCCAGGACTCTATCTTTTCCCTGGGCTCTTAGATTAAAGTCATGCCCAAGTTCAAATAATGAAGAAGAAAGCGGAAAGCAAACAATTTTTTTTTAAAGCAGCCTCTCACAACTAATAAGCAACTTATTAGTTGTGTCCAAGCTAATTGCAACCTCCCTACCCTGCCACCCTCACCTGAAAGAGTGGTTATTCCTTCAACAGATACACACACTCCTTAGCAGAAGCTGGCTGAGATCATCCTGGAATTTCAAATTTCCCAATTTCAAAGATGCAGTAAAACACTGGACAAATAGACGATGGTCTATATACAAATGGTGCTAAAACTGCATAGCCCAGAGTTTAGAAGTATTGAAAGATACCATCTTTCCATCCCATTTAGCCACTGAGAACTTCATAGTCTTAAACAACAGTTTTGCATTTTGGAAAGTGAATTATTCCTAATATATGGTGACAGGAGAAGATTTCACTTTGGGTGGTGGGCACATGGTGCAATATATAGATCTTTTAACATAGAAACCCACACCTGAAACCTATATGATCATGTTGACCAATGTCACCCCAATACATTGAATTTTTTAAAAAAAGGAAAAGTGAATTATGCTGGCTTCAGGAAGTACTGAAGACTGTCTCGGGAAATTCTTCCTGTACAACCTGTGGTCAAACATGCCACATGAGTGGTAAACCTACAAATGTGCCCGCCAGTGCTCTGACAACCTCTGGAGAATCCTGAGCCGTACGCCCTCCCTTGCCGCCACAGTCACCTGACCATCTTTCTTCTCCTTCATCACCACCTGCACCCTCTCCGCCCCCTTCTCTGCCTCTACCTCCACCACCAATAGCACCTTTGCTGCTCAGAAAATCCAATCTCACGAAAGCACTACAGGCTGGACCATAAAAAAAGATGGATCCATGCAGATAACAAAGATCTACTGACTGTGAAATAAAGAAAACAGAGTTTGATGAAAGGGTGAAGCTTGTACCATCACCAAAGACACAGAATCCACTAGTTACTGTCTCTGATCTGCACTGTGTTACCCTGAAGCACAGATTCAAAGTGTTACCAACTTGAGTTACAAATGTCTTAATTATTCCTGTAAAAGTCAAATTGATCTGTGGAAGCTACTTAGAAAAGTCTATGTAGAGAGGAGCCCAGGTGGGACCCCACTTACCAATAAAGGAGATATGGAAACAGAAATTATATTGACCTCACAAATGCTCTGTTTAATGCCTCTCTTGCCTCCCCAGTTAGCTTCTCCTTTTTCTCTGCTCCCTTCCAAGTGCTCAATGTATGCCATTAGCATTTGCCAGATTATGATTTTATATATAAAATTGTGTTTTAAGTTTAATTTATATGTTTAAATTATATTTATTTATCTTGATGTCTATTTCTGGCTTTTATCCACTTCACTAATGAAGGAGCATCTCTTCAACTTTTTATTCCTAGAATAGCACATGGTAGATGCTCAGCAAATGCTGTTAAATAAGAGAATATTTAATTAGACTGAAGGAATTACTACATAGCTTATAGTAGAAAATGAATTCTACAACTTTTTAAAAAGGTAGTTTTAAAAAATATAAGAAATTTTCAAGTACACAGGCAAAAATATTACAAACATTTCTAAGTAGAAATTTTCTATAGGCTGTTGTAATAAATGGAGATTATTTTCAAACAAATAATGCCTTTAAAAATAGTTTGTTTTCATTTGAATAGAGTATGCATGATTTCTAAAATTTATTTTACATTATGCTTTTCTCTAGCAAAACTTAGGCTCACAAATTATAAGAATTATACATATTCTGAATTAGTAAAGAACAAATCAAAGAAATTATAATGGTATTACTACCACTGCTGGTTACCACTTAGTGGAAACATCTATATATATAAAACCATAATATGCAAATAGACCAAATGGCAGACCAACCGAACAACTGGTCACTATGATGTGCATTGATTATCAGGGGGTGCATGCAGAACATGACAGGCGTCGGCTGCGGCAGGATGGTGGAGCAAGTGAGTGGGGGTGCCAGACTAAGGTGGGGTGCCAGTCGCTGTCATTGGGGTGAGCCTTTGGTGGTTACTGAAAATTCTTTGCTCCCCCATGCCACGGTCCTGGCTGGCCCTCGTACCTGCTGCCAGTGCCAGCCCCACTCATATCTGCAGCTGCACTGGAGCTGCTGCTTGCAACCACTGCCAGTGCCTAGCGCCAACCCCGATCGCTCAGCACCATCAGTGGATGCAAGTGGCGGCTGCTGGCCCAATCACCTGAGGTCTTCTCCACCTCCCCCTGCTCCTGAGGGGCAATAGGGACAGCAGCTGCCACTGGCACCCACTGATGGTGCCAACCCTGCTCACACCCGCTGCTGGCGCTGGTCCCAATCGCTCCACACTGTCAGCGGGTGTGAGCAGGCTGGTGCCATCAGTGGGAGCAGTGGGAGCGGGTCTGCGACAGGAGGGGTTGGGCGGGAGTGTGGAGGATGGGCCAAGACCCACCCCTGTGCCCACCTCAGCCTAACGGCCCACAGTTCCTTACAAGGTGCACGAATTCGTGCACTGAACCCCTAGTGTTGAATAAAATAACAGACTAATATTTTTTATAAAAATTGAAACATTTGTTCAACTCTATTGCTGCTTTATTCCACTGAGCTGTACCTCTCATCAGCATCTTACCACTCTTAGCACTTTTACTCTGAACTCTTTATTTAGATGATTCACGGCATTTTACCAGGCAATTTTGTTCACACATGTTATGTTAATACTAGAGGCCCAGTGCACAAAATTCATGCATGGGGGAGTGTGTCCCTCAGCTCAGCCTGCACCCTCTCCAATCTGGGACCCCTCAAGGGATGTCCGACTGCTGGTTTAGGCCCGATCCCGGACATCCCTCTCACAATCCAGGGCTGCTGGCTCCCAACCGCTTGCCTGCCTGCCTGCCTGACTGCCCCAACCACTCCCCTGCCAGCCTGATTGACGCCTAACTGCTCCCCTGCTGGCCTGATTGCCCCTAACTGCCCTCCCCTGCCGGCCTGGTCGCTCCTAACTGCCCTCCCCTGCTGGTCCGGTCACCCCTAACTGCCCTCCCTTGCCAGCCTGGTCGCCCCCAACTGCCCTCCCCTGCAGGCCTGGTTCCCTCAAACTTCCCTCCCCTGCAGGGCTGGTCCCCCCCAATTGCCCTCCTCTGCCAGCTTGGTCACCCCTAACTGCCCTCCCCTGCAGGCCTGATCGCCCCCAACTGCCCTCCCTTTCAGGCGTGGTCCCTCCCAACTGCCCTCCCCAGCTGGCCTGATCACCCACAACTGCCCTCCCCTGCTGGCCATCTTGTGTGTTGGGGTGATGGTCAATTTGCATATTACTCTTTTATTAGATAGGATCATTTGTCATTTGCTGAATACTTGAGTTTAGGTCTGGTACTGTGTGTGTGCCTAGTTATTATTTCTGCTCTCAAAAAGATAACAGTCCAATTGCAGTATTAGATGCAAACACATAAAATAACTAGAAAATAATTCAAGGCACCATTCAGTGGAAAGTGTCAATTTCTGTGGCACAATTGTTACATGGTATAGAAGTTGAGAGGTGGTCAGGGAAGGGCTTAGTAAGAAGGCACTTGATTTGAGCTTGAAAGTATAGGGAGGATGTGAGCTACTGGAAAGAAGGGCCAAGGCACCCTGCCTGGGAAAACAGCCTACCTGAGATTTTCTCCATTTCTTCCAATATCTTTTCCAAGTCTTTATTCAGGTCGGACAGCATTTTCAGCATGTTGTCGCAGTTTCTTTCCCCAGGGTCAGATTCAGCCATCTAAAGAAGATGCAGTGAGACAGACTGGAGTGAGGGGTGAAGTGTGAGGAGACTGGGGTGAGGGGTGAGGAGTGAGGAGACTGGAGTGAGGGGTGAGGAGTGAGGAGACTGGGGTGAGGGGTGAAGGGTGAGGAGACTGGGGTGAGGGGTGAGGAGTGAGGAGACTGGGGTGAGGGGTGAGGAGTGAGGAGACTGGGGTGAGGGGTGAGGAGACTGGGGTGAGGGGTCAGGTGAGGAGACTGGGGTGAGGGGTGAGGAGTGAGGAGACTGGAGTGAGCAGTGAGGGGTGAGGAGACTGGAATGAGGGGTGAGGAGTGAGGAGACTGGAATGAGGGGTGAGGAGTGAGGAGACTGGGGTGAGGGGTGAGGAGACTGGGGTGAAGGGTGAGGAGACTGGGGTGAGGGGTGATGAGACTGGGGTGAGGGGTCAGATGAGGAGACTAGGATGAGGGGTGAGGGGTGAGGAGACTGGGGTGAGGGGTGAGGGGACTGGGTGGGCTGTGGAGGTGAGGGGTGACGGCCCCTTGATGCGGGGGTTCTGCCGGTCCGAAGGGTGGCCCGGCACAAGGGCGTCAGAGCCACTCACGTCCTGCTCCGCCAGGGCACAGGTTCTGTCAGCTCCGCCAAGGCGTTGCACCAGGGCCAGGGGCCTGAGGAGGCGCTTCCGGAAGACCCGCCCCTTTCCGTTACCAGGCCCGCCCCCCGGAGCTGGCCTCTTGTTCTCATTGGCTAATATTCTGGAGAGGAAGGGGCGGGGCCTCCAGCACATGGCTGCGCCCACCGGGCTGCTCCCGAGTTCCAGCCTCGAGGTCTCATTGGCTGTGTCCAGAGTCGAAGGGGCGGGGCCCCCGGAGGCTGGTCCCTGGGCGCGGGAGTCTTGCAGGCTCCGGGGGAGGAGGGGCTAAGGTGGGGGCGTAGAGCTGGACGGGGAGGGCGCTCCCTGTTCTGATAGTTGCGTTCCGCCTCTTGGCTTTTTGAGGGTAAGATCGTGCGCGGCCCTGTTCGCTGGACCGCTGTGTCGGCGGTGTCCAGGCAGCACTTGGCACAGCAGGCGCTAATAAACATCTGTTCAACGAATAGCTGGATGCCTGAATATTGACAGTCTTCACAACTACCACATCGTCATTGTTGCATCTGTCTTAACAGAAGAGGAAGCCGAGGCTCGGGGAGATGAGGCAGGCAGGGCCCAGGTACTAGTACACGCAGCTGAGCGTGCAAAGCCTCCAAACCAGGTCTGCGAGGTGCCGCTGGCCTCCTGGCGGTAGGAGCACAAACCACCAAGCAGGGACCGGGGAGAGAGAGGCCCCGCCTGCCCTTCGAGAGGCTGCGCATAGGGCTGTGGTCGGGAGGAGGCCAGAGAGACTGCTCGGGCCTCGGTAAGCCAGTCCAGGGAGCTCAGTCTTTAGACGGGGATGGACACCTTAGAAGGGTGGTAGGCAGAGCGGTGACATGGTGAAGAGGCCTCTCGGGCTGCTGGAGGGAGGCTAGAGAGGGAGTTGGCTGTTGCTGATGTTTGGATGAGTAATGATGGAGATGTGGACAGGGCAGGTGGTGGTCACGGTGGAAGGAAGTAAAGCCATTTAGAAAGTACACTTGATGGTTTGTAATGTGGCAAGTTCAGAAGGAAGGAAGGAATTGGTTACTGGTTAGAGGGTGATGCCACTGGCTGAGATGGGGAAGTGGGGGAGAGAAGCCCATTTGGAAGATAGTTAGCCTCGTAAACAGCTTGTGTTTGAAATTCCTAAACTGGGACCCACTGAGTTTTCTCTCAGGAATTCCGATCCTTAGCAGACTGATTGCAGAGCAGAAAAAACAACTAGAGTTGAGCTAGATCGCCTGGGCACAGAATGAGTCCTTGCCTATCTATTGAGGAGTCTGCTGCCTGGGCCGTACACCCTCCCTCAAGCTGCCACCTTCCTGTCCCTTCCCACCTGTGAGCCACCCTGCATACTTCCTTCACTCCGCCATTTACTTAGACTGCCCAGAAAAACATGAATCAGGAATAACGCAATGAAGGCGGCTTCAGGAGAAGTTTACCAGGCTGAGGAAGGGCACAGGATTCTGGGCAGACAGTTCAGTGAAGGAAAGGCCAACTTTAGTGGAGAATGTGCTGGGCTCAGGGTTCTTGGGGAGTGACAGGGGAGACTCAGAGATCAGTTGAGCTGGGATGTGAGGGGCCTGGAGTACCCTGCCCAGCAGAGGGAGGTGGACTGTCTCAAACACCCTGTAGAACCCAGGCCCAGAATGGGCTCTCAGGATGCCCAGAGATGCCAGTCTGACCTGCCCATGCCCTTGTGCTTCTGAAACTGGTAACTGTTCACCAAATGTTTCCTTTATATCCCAGGCACACAGTTAGACTGTATTTCCCAGCCTCCCTTGCAATGTGAGTCCTGGTTAGAGGGATGTAGATGGAAGTGCTTTGTGTCACCCAGGCCAGGTCCATAAAAGCCTCCCATGAGTGATCCTCTGTCTTGCCCTATGTCCCTGCTAGAGGCTGAGCCCAAGGCGACTTGGGAGTGACCCGAGGAAGTCCGGGAGGGCTGCCAGCACATGCCTTTGAATAATGTCTGGAGCAGAGTCTGTCTCAGCCAACTGAGCAGGAATTAAACTTCTATTGAGATTTCAGGGTGTATCTGTTGTGACTAACCCTAACTAGTACAGATCTGCAAAACCATGGGTCACAAGGAGCTTGTTTGGGTCTGATGGGTGCTCACCAGAGGTTTATACCCTAGTTGTGCACAGTGGTTTCTCTTACTTTAACCCAGAACAGGTCAGATAACTTTGGCTGAATTTTACCATTAATTAAAAGCCAGCTGATAAAAACTCTGCTCACTGCTGCTCTCCCAGGGCTGGGCAAGCTGATGTGCCCAGAAGCCCACCCAAATGGACATTTCCCCAGGGTAGTTACACAGGCACCAGAAAGGCAGAGGTCTGGGAAGAAAGCTCTGCTATGGAAGGTAACATTTTCTGAGCACAGGTGTACTTTTATAAACCTCTCAAGGAGATTCCCAGGAGGTTAGGAGCCTCTGCCCTGGGGTCCTCCCATGCACTTTCAGGGTTTTAACTTCCTTCAAAGCTGTTACCAGGAGCCTAGATCTTAGCTTTTTAAAATATTTTATTTATTTTTAATCCTGACCTGAGGATATTTTTTCCATTGATTTTTAGAGAGAAAAATAAAAGGTAGGGAAGAGGAGGAGAGAGAGAAAGAGAGGGGGGGAAACATTGATGTGAGGGACCGGGGTTGGGATCAAACCTGCAACCGAGGTACATGCCCTTAACCAAGAATCGAGAGACCCTTTAGTCTTTGGGCCAACGCTCTAACCACTGGGAATAACTGGCCAGGGTGATTTCCTTAGCTTTTACTTTATTTTTCAAGAATCCATGAATATTTCCTTTTTAAAAATATATATTTATTGATTTTTTACAGAGAGGAAGGGAGAGGGATAGAGAGAAACATCGATGAGAGAGAAACATCCATCAGCTGCCTCCTGCACACCCCCTACTGGGGATGTGCCCGAAACCAAGGTACATGCCCTTGACCGGAATTGAACCCGGGACCCTTCAGTCCGAAGGCCAACGCTCTATCCGCTGAGCCAATATTTCTTATGGACATGTCAAATTCAACATTAAAGAAACCTCATTTAATCATCCAATTACCCAAAAGAGAAAACATGAATTATCTTCAATGTCACCCTATCAGATTTATCAGTTTTACCTTTGATGGTCTTGGCTTCCTGATCCTCAGTTCGTTTGAGTTCTGTCATTTCACCCAACCCTGCCGCCACCATGAGCAGCACCCTCTGAGAGTCCTTGCTTCTTATCCTTACTGCACCCCACTTTGTTCTAATATCCCCATTAGCCAGAGAAATTCCCATTAAAATTTAGGACTGATTATGTCACCTCTGCTCTAACCGCAGCGGCTTCCCCCATCATTCAAGGAAGCTGGAGTCCAGCCTACGAGCCCCTTGATTCCCCACTCCACCTGTCCCCTCCTGCTCTTCCCTCCCCGACTCCACCCCAGCCACAGCCTCCAGTATTGCCTCTCTATTGTAGCAGGCACCACCCACCTGGGAGCCCTGGCTCCTGCTGTCCCCGCAGCTAGGAATTTCTGCCCTACATGGCTCGTGCCCTCATCTCCTTGCCTTTGCCACTTGTCCCCCTCCCCCATTGCTCCCATCCCCTTACTTACTTTTCTCTTTAGCACTTATTACTCTCTGACTTGCTATGTAACTTATCCTTCTTGGTGACTGCCTTTCTCCTTACTAGACTAAGCCCCACAGGGAGGGGTACTTTCTGTATTTTGCTCACTGCTGTAGCTCAGTGCCTAGCACACTGTGGTACTCAGCAAGCACCTGCTACATGGATTATTCCAAAAGCCCCCTGCCAGCCACTCCATCCCCTGACCCATGCCTGCCTCACCTGGCGGTGAATCCCACGGGGGTAGGTGGTGCCTTGTTCACCACTGAATCCCCAGCACAGAGCCAAGTTGGTGGGGGGTGTTCCATAGACACTGGGTTCATCAGAGAAGGCCCAGGACTATAGCTAATTCACTGTGGGTTTTTAGCACCTACAGAATGCTGACATTTGGATTCACTCAAGCATGCAGCAATAGTAATGGAGTGCCTACTCATACTTGCTCTTTTTTATGTAATTTATGATTTTTTGAGAGAGAGAAACATCAATTTGTTTTTCCACTTATCTATCTACGCACTCATTGGTGGCTTCTTATATGTTCCCTAACCAGAGATACAACCCGTAACCTTGCTGTCCTGGGACAGCATCCTAACCAACGGAGCCACCCAGCCAGGGCTACTTGTACTTTCCATAAAAATTATTTTTTGTTTATTTTTAGTGTTGCTTTACTAGAGAAGCTGACCTGAGGGAAGCCGCATATGTTGCTGCAGACTATCCTGTGTGCCTCATGGGCATGACCCCCTGACCCCTGACCTCAGGCCTGGCTGCAGCACCGAGGGGAGGCCGAGGCCCCACGAGGATGTGCTCGAAGTCAGAGGGGTGCAGAGGGTTGTGGAGGCACGCCTGTGCAGAGGAAGCAGGCGGCCCCACTCCCCA